TATTTTTGAAGAAAAGGCTGTTCCAATCTTTTGCCCAATTTTATTTATTTTTTAAAAGCATTTTTTAAACACACTTTTTATTGATTTCAGAGGGGAGAGGAGAGGGAGAGATAGAAACACCAATGATGGGAGAGTCTCACTGAGCTTTCTGCATGCCCCACACGAGGATGGAGCTCACAATCCGGGCATGTACCCTGACCAGAAATCGAACCATGACCTCCTCAGTTACTGAGCCACACCAGCTGGGCACATCTCACTTAAAACAAACAAACAAAATTCCTCTGATTTTACACATATCAGTAGAGCAAAGGAGGAGAGAGAAACATTGATTGGTTGCCTGTGGTTCGAACCCTAAGCACCCTGAGCACCCAGGGATCAAACCCACAACCAGGGAATGTGTCCTGACTTGGAATTGAAACTGTGACTTTCGTTGTATAGGACAACATTCCAACCAAGTCATACCGGCTAGGGCTTACCCACTTTTAAATTGGGGTGTGTGTGTGTGTGTGTGTGTGTGTGTGTGTGTGTGTGTGTGTATTTAGTTTTTTTTTTTTTTTTTAATTGATTTTAGATAGGAATAGAGAGAGGGAGAGAAAGAGAGGTAAGAGAGATACATCTATTGATCAGTTGCCTCTTGTATGCACTCTGACAGGGAACAAACCCACAACCTGGTATATGCCCTGACCAGTAGTCAAACCTTGACCTTCTGGTACACTGGAGGACGCTCCAACCAACTGAGCCACACCGGCCAGGGATTTTGTGTTTGGATTGTAAAAGTTGTTTCTATATTCTGGCTTTTCTCCTGCATTTAGTTTTTTAAATGAATTCAGACTAATTTCATCAACTTCCACCACCTCCTCCTTCTCACCTCCTAAGTTATTGGGTATTTTCCAATTAAAAGTAATTTCTTGGTCTTTGAGAGTTTGTTCATTTTCTAAAGCTGTGTGTTATGATGCAAGCCTAGGCATAATCAAGGTGCACCTCGGCTTCTGCCTTTAGTATGGTCAACAGCCAGTGTCCAGGAGTCAATCTGACATTTAAAACACACCCACTCCACCCTACCTGGTGAGCCAGTCCCACTGGGACAAAGCAAGGGGAAGACAGCTCCCAGGAACACCAAACGGAGGTGGATCGGACAAACACACTGGACTTAAACCATGGAAACAAACACAATCTTCGTTTTTTGTGTTAATCCTCTCCCGGGCACACTTTTTCCTTTGATTTTTAGAGACAGTGAGAGAGTGCAGAGAGAGAAAATTGATGTAAGAGACATTGATTGGTTACCTCTCCCACACACCCTGACGGGGCCAGGGAGTGAAACCTGCAGCTCAGGTACGATGAGCCCTTAACCAGGAATGAAACAGGGGACCCTTTGGTGTGCTGGCGGATACTCTAACCGTTAAACCACACAGGCTAGAGCCATGGTCGGCAAACTGTGGCTCACGAGCCACGTGAGGCTCTTTGGCCCCTTGAGTGTGGCTCTTCCACAAAATACCATGGCCTGGGCCAGTCTATTTTGAAGAAGTGGTGTTAGAAGAAATTTAAGTTTAAAAAATGTGGCTCTCAAAATAAATTTCAATCGTTGTCCTGTTGATATTTGGCTCTGTTGACTAATGAGTTTGCCGACCACTGGGCTAGGGCAACGAGCACAATTTTAAGGGCTACCCACAGCTGTAGGTCATGTTACAGGGAGCGTCAGAGACAGTGGGAGTGGAGGAAGGTGGCATTGCTTCACCCAGTGAAATATTTCTCCTGAGGACAAGGTTACTGTGCTCATCAGAAGATGGGGGTGAGGTTAGCGTGGGGCGGTTAATCGAGTCATTTCTGACGTTCCCTATCCATTGGCTAGAAATACATCACTTTTGGAGGATGCTAAACTCAGTGATAGGCAGCGATTCCCTTTCTCTCTCTATTGCTAAAGTACAGCAGAAAGTAATTTTTCTACCAGATGTGCAATTGGTCTCCCACTTCATTGAACCAATTTAAGTCACTCGATTTCCTTTGTAAAATTGATTTTTCTCTCCATATTCACATTGAGGGCCCTTCACATTTTCAATCTGTTTGGGCAGCGTGGTGGAGAGAAGGCGCACCTGAAAGTCGAGAGGGCTGGTTTCTGACCAGGTCCCCCATTTAACACACTCACATCAGCTTCAATTTTGGAAAGTATTTTAAAGGAATCATCTAAAGTCACTTGGCTTCAAAATTTAGGTTAAAAATATCATCCAATTTCTCAGCATTAACAGATTAAAAAAAAAAAAAAAGGCTGCCCTTGCATCAATTTAAAAGGCCTTGGAGTATCCATGCATCTGGGATATCAGTAGGAGCAAAGTACATCACACTGGGTTTCCCCACCGGGCTCCATTCCTAGGTCACTCTTTGGCCTTTTCGTTAACTCTTTTACATTCTTTTAATTTCACTGATAACAAAATGGGCATCAATAAACAAATATACATATGTATGTAATATACAGTATATATATATTTTAGGCGGCATGATCAGTTTCATGCTTCTGCGGTTATGAAATGCAGAGGCATTGATTGGTGTCAATTCAAAGTGTTGCTTTAAATCATTAGTTATTAATTCTCTTGGAGCCACCCAGCATCTCTTTGAGCCACCCAGCCACGTGCACTGACATAATTTTGCCACCATTTATGAAGAGTGGTGATGTAGGGACCGTGGAAGTGTGCGTGACCCAAGACTACAGGCAGGAAAAAAAGAGTTGTGTAGTCACTAACGCTCCCCCTGTCCCAGGCCACGCTTGCTGGGGCAGAGGGAGAGGGGCATCCTGAAATGTGCTTTCACCAGAGCCTGACATCTTTTTAAAATTTTTTTTAAAATATATATTGTATTGAGTTTTTACAGAGAGGAAGAGAGAGGGATAGAGAGCTAGAAACATCGATGAGAGAGACATCGATCGGCTGCTTCTGCACACCCCCAACTTGGAATGTGCCCGAAACCAAGGTACATGCCCTTGACCGGAATCGAACCTGGGACCTTTCAGTCCGCAGGCCAACGCTCTATCCACTGAACCAAATCAGTTTTGGCAGGGCCTGAAATCTTAATGGCCTTACAGATAAGAGCCCTGACACCCCGAGGCTTAGATTCCAGAGGAAAAATGGATGCTAACAACCACATAAATAGCAGACAATTTCAGAGAGTGGCGAGGGTCACTGTGACCAGATGGTGGAGACTGGCGGTTGCTTGTGAGCTGATAGTCACGAATCCCTTGGAGATGATGACATTTAGTGGAGACTTGAATTATACAGAATAAATACTGCTTCAAATTATGATTCCCTCTAGTTTGGGACAAAGCTTCCATGTTTAAGTTCCCTTCTCTAGCTCAGGATCACAAGGTCTTACACGACGGTGTTTCCCGGGGGCACAGTCGTTCGAGAGCGATTGTCAGAATGAGCTCCGTGCCTGCTGTTCCAGCCCCTCGCCAGTGCCATGCGTACCCCGAGTGTTCAAACACTTGCTGACTGAGTGAACGGAGTAACATCCGAACCTGAACTTGTGTGCCACCCTCCAAATCGCTCCGCCCAGTGTTCCCGGTCTTAGCCAAGTAACACCCCGTGGTTCCCGGCAGAGACCTGTGTGTCAGCGCCAGCACTTCCTCACACGGATCACGGAGCCCTCCGGGGCTGGCAGCCAGGCAACTAGAGAACACCAGCGTGTGGGAGCAAGGGCACCATCCCAGGGACCTTGGGCCACATACTGTGAAGTGGGCCCCTTGCAGACAATTTCCTGGCACACAGGGCCTCATGAAGCAGGGGACATTGTGGCAGAAGTGGTGGGCTGGTGCCAGGCTCCCAGCCTCCACAGGTGCAGGGACGGGAAAGACTGGCTATAGTTTATTTATATTTTCTATTTTTGCAAGCAAGGCACACTGCAACCCTCTTCTGCAACCCAGCTGCTCGCTTACGTAGCTGTTCCTCCCCGCAGCCCACACCTGGGAGTGCTCTGGTCGGGGAGCTGGGAAAGCCTAGGGGATGGAAGAGGCGCAGGTACCAGGGAGGACTAGCACCGTCCTGTGTTCAGGGAAGAAAACGAAAGCCTTTCTGTTTGTTTTTAAATATATATATTTTTTATTGATTTCAGAGAGGAAGGGTGAGGGAAAGGGAGATAAAAACATCAATGATGAGAGAGAATGCCTCCTGAGCACCCCACACTGGGGATCGAGCCGGGAATCCAGGCATGTGCCCTGACTGGGAATCGAACCGTGACCTCCTGGTTCATAGGTCGATGTTCAACCACTGAGCCGCGCCGGCTGGGCATAAACCATTTATGTTTTAACAGCCACTTTGTATGAGAGAAGATTGACTTGTCCTTCTGATGTGTTGTTTCCATAGAAGCAGGGCTTACCTTGAAAGTGAAGATTATAAAGCTACCGAAGTCATGTAAAATGAGGCTTCGAGCATATCAGTGCTTAATGCTTGAGTGTTGCTGCAGGACTTGCTGCAGGAATTGATCTGGCTGCCGGGCAGAGCCCGTGGCTCACCACGTTTGAAGATGATCGTTCTGGTAGCAATTTAATTTATTCTTAAAAATTTATCTCCTTCAGAAGGAGATAAAACTTCTTGGGTAAGATCACCAGAATATTAATAAATACCTTTTAATTAAAGACTAGCATCAGCTGCTCTTCATAACCATGGGAGGAATGGCACACAGGCATGAAACAGGCGCTTTCAATTAAAGTAATTTATTGTAGTCTTCCAGAATGGGCATAAGGGGCATCTTGGGGATTGATATCACAGTACAGTGTCATACACCATTCTCATCACTAGCCTTGTGTTGAACTTTTTTAAAGAACATAGTAATTTTAAAAAATCTAAGTATTTACATATTAATAAAACATATATACAGAAGATTGAGACATTATTCATAGACATGGAATAATTTGTTTTTGCTAAGAAAGCCTATAGAAAGGATTTCAGAATAAGGTCTGAACAGTAGTCACAGTAAGTAAACACAAATGCAATTTTAATTTACAAAATACGATCTCACTCTTGCAGTTGTATGATATGTATTTCCAATTTGGGGATCCATTGCACATACTCGTGAGTTGAACAGTCCCCACCCTCCTCAAGGGGTGAACACTCCATGCTTCGCCCGGTCTTGGAAGGACGTGCTCTGGACGCTCGTGGTGTATACTCAGCAGATGCCACAGCAGGAAGGTGAACGTTTCTACCTCTATTAGCAACACCATCATCGTGTTGTAATAGAGCTGAAAGGGCACTAATTAATCTTGCAGTTCCCTTGAGAAATACTTTCTTCTGAGAGGCAGCAGACCAGTTTGAAAACATATGTTGCAGAAAAACAAAAGCTCTGTTCACAGTATCTCAACAGCCTCGGTGATCAGAGGGGCTGGTTTCAGGGGAGTGATTACCAGCTCGCCTCACATGTAAAAGGCTAACTAAGGGTGTGATGGAAACCACCACTCTGAACCTCCGAAAAGACGACAAACAAAAGACACACATACATGAGATGAGCTGTCTAGCAGTTGGATGGATGCCACAAGCCACACCTAGCACCAGCTTCCTGCCACTGTTGGTTAATGAGCTGGTCTTCAGTGGAAAACAGGTTCCTCCCAGAGTGCCCTCCTCGCTCAGGCTTAGCTGTTCAGTGTGATGTGGCACAAGTACCTTGGACAGGGGAGTAAGGCATTTAGGTGCTAGGCCTGGCCAGGCGACTGATGGGTTACCTGGCCCTGGGCAACCATGACCCTTACTCCCCAGCTGCCTCCCATAGCCCTACCAGTAAGGGACATCTACAGTAACTCTGAGCTCTAACACTCTGACTCAATAAAATAAATGCTAGGGAAATGCATTAAACAGTAGCACGATAATTTCCCCCACCTGGGGTTTGCTGTTTCTAGTTCACATGTCTTTCAAGTTTTGGCCTTTGGGTCAAGTGCCAAAGTTCCAAGGTAATTTGTTTTATGAAACAAAGGAGGTGTAAATGCAGGGTTTCTACATAAAATGATATTTTAAATTCACCGTCTTATGAGAGAAAGGAATCCAGACGTAAATAGTTCTGTAAAACAAATATGCACATGGCATGATATCTCTAAAATGAATCCAGATTTTCATTTGTTGGATTTTTATAAAGTGGAGTGTAAGTGTACTAGGAACCAAATAAAATACGTAACATTAATAAAATACGTGTGTGGCAGGTTGCCAAAACACTGAACCACTCACTCAGCCAAAACCATCTGTCAAAACAGCTGGTAGGTATCAAATAGATAACTGCTTGCTTTGAGTTTCTCACCTTTCAATGTGAGAAACTTTGCCACTGTGTGGATACCACCTCCTAAAAGGTTTTTCTTTCATAGGAATTCACGTATCACTTGCCCTTATCCTATATAATAAAGAGCTAACATGCTGATTAGACCAAGCAGCAGAACAACCTTCCGAATAAAGCTGGGACCGTGAGGGCCCAGGCAGCCAGGGCTGCGAGGACTGAGCCCTTGCACAAGTTTCGTGCATCAGGCCTCTAGTTCAGTTACAAATGGTTATTTGGGGGGAACTGATGTCACAAATGGTTTCATCTAACAGAGCAGGGCTATCCTGTTTCCCAAAACTTCTTTTTCATCCTTTAAGCTGATGAAGGTCTAGTTAATTTTAACAATTGCTCCCTTTTCAGTACTGGAAAGTGCCATTCTCCTTTATAATGCATCTAAGCAATTTATGCTAAAATAAATACTTTATTCTTTGAAACTCCAAATGTTCACATTGAGGTTATGGACAAAAAAAGGGAAGAGAGAGCTGCTTATTTTTAATGGACAATGAATGAATCAGATGTTGGACTTCAAGGGTGATAAATCAACTCTAGGAATGATTTTTAAAATCTTATACCAAATTGGAGGCCTGCTTATCACAGTTGACAAAGATAGTACATCAAAACTACTCAAACAGGACAGGTAAACTTCACAGAACACTCAAACTCTGCAGTACTTTGAAATGCTAATGTGGATCTCTGAGGAAATTCAAAGGGAAAAGGTGCCTATGCGAATGAGCATTGTCACTAAATGAAAGTCTAGGCAGTGAAATCTGGCTCTGTGTCTTCCTTGTTTCCTCTCCTGGTGTCAAATATGTTACCTACAACAGAGAAAGAGAGTGAAGGGAGCACTCCTCTGAAAGCAGTTGTACACGTCCCTATGACATGGCTGGAGGTAGTTTGTATACGTGAAGAATGGTGTTGGTAAGGTGTCTGTGTTCCAAGACTGTAGTTGTGCTAAATAAACAATTTTAGCCATTAGAAATTTTGAATGATTATTTTTGCAAGGAAGCCCTTGAATGTGTGTTACTATTAAAGAATGTCCATATGTTGTCCAGTAACAGAAAAGAGCCAAATAAAATATAATTTACCTGTAAAATAGATGATCATTCAGCTATTCAAATACGTAACATGTATGAAAAACTGTAATTTTTCAATTAAAATTAAAAGTGCTTATTAGGTTAAAAAAATCCAACTCAGGAAATAAAATTTGTATATTTGATCTCCATTGGCCAAATCAAATAGAGAGAAAAGTCTGGGGGGAAAATACCCAATAATTATTGTCTCTGGGTGGTAAAATTAATTTATTTTCTCCCTTACACTTTTCTTTGTTAATGTTTAAAACATATGTAAAGGAATGACAATTGATGACAAAGACTGGTAGGCCCAGCTGAGCTCTGCACTACTCTATTTCGAATTCAGAAGCCTCCTTATCACATTTTAGGAAGCACTGCTATGATTTTACTTCCTCTATGCTCTTTTTTCCCACCACAAATTGCCCCCAAGTTCTGGAAGGTTTTTGCCATCATCAGCCGCACTCTCCACACCGGGCTGCAGGTGGTTGGCCTCGGCCCATCGCAGTGGGCGGGGCCCTGAGGGCGGTGTATGTTCCCCACAACCTAACACAGAGCTGATTCCTGGGAGCTGCTCCAACATGCTCACTGACAGGGCTGAGGGAAAAGACATTAAGGAAATGTTTCTCCACTATAAAATCTCTATCCATTTTTGTTAAGTATAGACACACAAGTTTGCTTAAATGAAATGGATTGAAACAAGTGCCATTTGGCTGCCAGACTGTAACCCTGATCTGCTAGATTCTGATTCATACATTTACACTCCCTTCTACCTTCCTCAATATTCATGAATTGGGAAGAGGAAAAGACCCAAAGTTAATAAAAGCATTGTTAAATCTTTAACAGCTCAGATAAACACGCTAAAGGAAGTCTGGCCAGTGAGCCTCAAACCCCAGGCAGAAGCGCCTGCACAAGTAAGGTGGGGTCTCCTAGGGGAGCACGCAGGGAGGGAGAGGTTAGTAATGGCCTTGTATTCAGAGAAGCCACCAGACTGGGATTTTACTTTGGTGGCAATCAAGAGACAGGCTATTCTAATCAAAATTATTTAATTTCATTACTACAAATTTTGGGCACCAATCTGGGAATTCTTTTCTCTCTTTTCTAAATGATAAACAGTATTTCTCTTTTATCATGCTGTTTAGTAGTTTGTTAAATGTCTGTCAAGAGTCTGGTGAAAAGACTTATAGGGCCATTCTACTCCTGTCTTCCTTATAACCTCATAGCGCTGGGCAATAGTCCAGAAAGAATTCCATGAGTTTGAATCTGCAGTGGACTTCGGGGGACTGACGATGGGCATTTTAATTGTGGAGACTATGGGACAGAGATAGGGAATCCTGAAGGGATTAGCACATCCATGGACTCGGGATCTTTAAGAAACATGCCGAGGAAAGCTGGCTTTGGCTTGGGTGTGAGGAGGCTATGCGGTGTAAATGACTGGAGAGGCCACCAACAGCTGTGAGACCTTGAGAGAGTCATTTAGTGTTTCTGGGCCTCAGGCTGTTTTACCTGTAAAATAAAAGGATGGGATAAAAAGGAGGCAGGGACTAGATGATCTCTAACGTTCCTTCACTCTCAGGGTCCTTGAAATTCTTTTCAGTTCCGTGAGGGGTGCTACCATCCCATGTTCTATTTTCTCATCTGAAACTTCTCTCTGCCTCCGTCTTCAGGTATGGAAACACAAAGGGAATGGTTTTCAAGAACAGCAATTTTTAAAAGCCTACTGTGCCTGATGCCAATGAGGACAGGGAGTGCAAATGCCCTGTGGCGATAGGCTGGAGGGGGAGGAGCCTGGACAGCACAACCAGGGCAGCATGGCATTCCTCCAAGGGGCCTCCCCGAATACACAGTCTCATTATTATTAGTGTGGCTACTGGGAATGGGCCAGGGGTGATACCCACACGGCTATTGTGAGTTGTTCTGATATTGGAGGACAGATGGGAAGGAACAGGAGAGATCATGCATTTCCATTCTCTTGATTCATAAATGTGGAAACATGGCTAAACAAGAAGAGAAATCCCTTTATGTCATGATTATATGGTAAAGCTTGATATAAGCAGGTCCTTTGTCATTTGCCTACTGACCTGTTGCTTAGCTACTCAGTGGCAGAAAGGACTGTGTTGTTTACACGGTTGAGCTTTCTCGCTACTCCGATGTTCTCTGACATACGTCTGTCCCTCACCCGTGAACTCTTGGATGTCATCCCAGGGTTAAGTGCTGCCAATGAACACATGACCTGGTGGAGTGCTTACACAGACTAGCTGCTCCATTCATACTTGCTGATTTCCGTTGAAAACCTACCAGCCCACATCCAGGGGAGAAAACACGGCGTTGAGCTCTTTCACTTAGGGTTTTTTGGGGCAGCTGGGTTTTGTGGGCAGGAAATCTTCATGCATTCTTTTCAGGGCAGGCAATAGAGTCATGAGGCCAACTGAGGAATACATCGTTGGTCACACGGCCTGTGCATTAGACACCTGTCTCTCTGGCTCTCAGGTATGAATTGATGCAGAGGCAGGAGACCAGGGTCAGAGGATATCACTTGAGAGTTAAATAATGTGACCAGAATCATGTGTATGGCTCGATTCACTGTAGCAGGAGCTTCAGTGAACTGTTGCATCGGGGCGATCTGGTTATAACATTGGGAACGTGACGCCCATGCCAGATGCACCGGCGTGGTTAAAACAGTCACTCAGTTAAAACACGACATTCATGAGGCGCCCGCTGTGTGAAGAGCTGTCACTGCCCGCCGCTCAAAGCCCTTTGGAGCAGGTGGGAGAGGACAGAATGGACATGAATTTCATCATGAGACTGGTGTTCCCTGTTCTAGAAAGAAATGTCATATCATGTTAAAATATTTTTTTAATGTCCAAAGGTTTTGGGAGTCAAAATCTTGTGACACTAATTTCTTAGGACTTGCTGTTCTGAGGTTTTTAAGAATATAAAACTGAGAAAAATGGAGCTTTTCATATTCACTAGGACGAACATGTCTGAACAAAGGGCATTGAGCACCTCTGATTGCAGTCTGGGTCTGTGACAGAAGCATTCTGCTCAGGCATCTGCATCTCTAATGTTAAAAACATTTTCAATGCAAATATTTTCCTGTGCTGTATTTTCCAGCGGGTGATGAAAATGTAAATGTGTTTTACCTGTTGGTGGCAGAGAGATGCTGTCCAGTCTTTCATCACCGTCAGCTACCTCTGCTGGTTACAAACATAAAACACAAATCTCATTAGTTTCAGGGAGCACATCCATTTCACAATTTAAAATCTCCACTGCTAGTGTGCATAGGAGTTTTCACCTTCCCTTTTCCTTTTCAGCTCCAGCCAGTTCACATTGCAGATTTTAGTACAAATATTTAAAAATAAGATATTTTAAAGATGAAATAAAATCAATTTCCTGTATCAAATATATATTTTAGCTTATGGACCTTATTCTTAATCAATGGTGATTTCAGTGCTTTTCTCTTATTTACATTGGCTTAAATATCCACCCAGATTTGGGGGTGAATTGTTGAAATATGATGCATGAGGTTAGTGAATTCTTGTGGTAGATATTCGTTTGTCATTTCCAGAACCATCCTGTGGGGTGGGCTTAGGAAATCTTGAGAATGACTCTTTCTTTGGAGATTACTGGAAATTCAGATCTTAGAGCTGGCAATCTAAGTTGGCATCAATTCAGTCATAAAGAAAATCAGAAGGAATAAGCACTTCTTTAAAAGAGCCATCACTTCTGTTTTAAAATGCAAACCTTTGCTTATCTCTGATATATTTCAATCTCCTTACGAATTTTCCAAAGGTAGATCTTCAGTCACAGAAAACCTCCCACTAAACCTAAAGACAGGTGCCTATATGTCTCCCGAGAACTGGAGGGCTTGTCTGTCTCCCCAACATGCCACAGGACAGGTCAGAACATGCCACCATGGCTATCTGCCTAGTTTCAGCGTGCTCCTTGGCCCCGGGGGGAGTTCCCTGCCAGTGGCCCCGGGGGGAGTTCCCTGCATGTGTGCACATGAGACTGTCAAATGAGTCATTTGTATCACTTGGTAATGCTCAGTTGGGAAGCAAGCTAGTCCTATGTTCTTGTGTTTTGTTGCTGTTGCTTTAAACACAACCAGGGTTCAAAAATTTCCACTCTAGTCCACTCTTTCACATCTTTTTAAAAAAATATATTTTATTGATTTTTTTACAGAGAGGAAGGCAGAGATATAGAGAGATAGAAACGTTGATGAGAGAGAAACATCAACCAGCTGCCTCTTACACACCCCCTACTGAGGATGTGCCCGCAACTCAGGTACATGCCCTGACCGAAATCGAACCTGGGACCTTTCAGTCCGCAGGCCGACGCTCTACCACTGAGCCAAACTGGTTTCGGCCACTCTCTCACATCTTGTCCCCAGACTGAGACACACTGACTCAGGGACCCACAGTCTGCAGACCAGCCCAATCCACGCACAAAGAGAAAACACTGAGAAGAGAAAGACTAATCAAGACCAATTTTGGTTAGAAAAAAGTAGAAACCCCTAAAAATTATATTGCAGATGAATATTTAACAATAAACATTCAAGTCAGGCAATAAAATAAATGGTAAGGAAAAAATTTTGTATATAGATTTACAGATAAAATACAGAACTAAACTATTAGTAGTGTTTCTCTGAATGAAAGCTTATAGGTATTTAAAATTTTGTTCTTTGGGTTTTTACAATTATTCTGTACATTTAAAAAATAAACAAACATGTTATTTTTATATTTGGAAGATATTATTTTCTTCTAATTAGTTTGATTGGATTTGATAGGTAGATGAACTACATGATAATATTTTCATTGTCTAGGACTAAAATTTTTTTAAAGTATATTTTTATTGATTTCAGAAAGGAAGAGGGAGAGGGAGAGAGATAGAAACATTAGTGATGAGCCAAAACCGGTTTGGCTCAGTGGTAGAGTGTCAGTCTGCGGACTGGAAGGTCCCAGGTTCAATTCCGGTCAGGGGCATGTACATTGGTTGCGGACACATCCCCGGTAGGGGGTGTGCAAGAGGCAGCTCGTCGATGTTTCTCTCTCATCAATGTTTCTAGCTCTCTATCTTTCTCCCTTCCTCTCTGTAAAAAATCAATAAAATAAAAAAATAAAAAAAAGAAACATTAGTGATGAGAGTCATTGATTAGCTGGCTTCTACATGCCCTGACCAGGAATTGAACTATGACCTCCTGGTTCATAGGTCAATGCTCAACCAATGAGCAACACTGGCTGGACTCATTGTCTAGGATTTAAATAATTCTCCAGCAATAACAATAATAGCAATGCTAGCCATCATCATTTAATGAGCACTTGACTTTCATTGACTCATCTAATCCTTAGAAAACTCCCCAAGGCAGGTTTGTTATTATGTCCATTTTAACAAATAACACTGAGACAGAGAGGTTAAGAAATGTGCCTGCCGAAACCGGTTTGGCTCAGTGGATAGAGCGACGGCCTGTGGACTGAAAGGTCCCAGGTTCAATTCAGGTCAAGGGCATGTACCTTGGTTGTGGGCACATCCCCAGTAGAGGGTATGCAAGAGGCAGCTAATTGATGATTCTCTCAACGATGTTTCTAGCTCTCTATCCCTTTCTCTTTCTCTCTGTAAAAAAATCAATAAAAAAAATAAAAAAATAAATGTGCCTAGGTGACATTAGCTAGTAAGTGACACTGCCAAGGATTTGACTCAGGTTTATACTTGGACTCTTAATCTCTTTGCTATTAATCATCCAAACATATATCGCATATATAACTATGAGTTAATTTTTAAATCTTCAAGTTTCAGTTCATTTTATACTTGAGTAATTTTCTCCTCTTTCCATGTACAATTTCTTTTCATTTAGTTATAACAAAAATCGGTTTTAGGTATAAGTTGATCTTCCCTTTGTAATTAAGTTATCCTCACTTTAAAAAAGCAGGCCTATGCAATTGTGTGCTTTAGTAAGAACAGAATACATGTAAACAAAAACATGTATAAGTTGGTATATGCCAGCTGCATGAACAGGGCAAGGGTCATGTAGGAAGAACATGACTGTGCTACTCAAATTTAATTATAACATCTGTCAACAACAATGACCTCACCATCTTTCTTTCCTGGTGACAGTCAAATTGTAAAATTTGGAAAAGATTGAGAAAGTCCAATAAAAATTCAATAGCAGTGACAGTTTTACTCTTAGATCTAACACTCACACAAAATTGTAATTTCAGCTCTGAGGAAATAATCTAATGAAAATGACAAAAACCCACACCACAAAAGGAATCATTCCAGTTATAGAAAAAAATTATTACATGTAATGAGAGCCCCAAATGAATTTCTGTTTGGATTCATATAACAACCTTTCAGATCTGCATGGGGCACTCTTTCAAGAGGCAGTTAGAGCCTTCTTCCTCTTTTTTTGTTGTTGTTAATTTTCCATTGATTTTTAGAGTGAGTGGAAGGGAGGGAGAAAGAAGGGGGAGAGAGAGAGAGAAACCGATGTGGAAGAGACACTGGTTGCCTCTCTCATGCTCCCTGACCACGACTGGGGATTGAACCTGCAACCCAGGTACATGCCCTTGACCATGGCTCTAGTTCCCATTTGCTGGGGTCCCACTTTTGTGTTGCTTGAGGAGAATGAAGGATCACAGGATGTGAAAAAATGAGTAGACAAACTTATTTGGCAGGTCACTGCTGATGGGCTGGTCTGGTCTGTTTGTTAGGGTTGTATTTTGTAGATGCCTTCCACATTTTTAAAAAAAATCCTCACCTGAGGATAAGCTTTTTTTTTTTTTTTTTTTTTTTAAATTTATTTTACAGAGAGAGTAAGGGAGAGAGAAAAAGAGAGGCAAACATAAGTTGGTTGCCTCCCACATAACCCAACCGGGGACTGAACTAGAAATCTGGGTATGTGCCCTGACTAGGAATCAAACCAGCAATCTTTAGGTGAACAGGACGATGCTCCAACCAACTGAGCCACCCAGCCAGGTGGCACCTTCCACTTTTGGATGCCAAACCCACCAGTCAAAGTGAAAATGTTCAAAATCAAGTGTGACGAGAACTATGGAGCAGGCCACACAATGTTCTGGGCACGTGCAAGGCTCCCCGGAAGGGAAGGGCTGGGAACAGTCTCCGGTTTGGGAGCCACTCTGTAGAAGCGGGCATGGGCGTGTGAAATGAGCCTGTCATGTGATTCACTAATACAAATACGGAGTTGGTTGAGAAGTGTGATCACTGGTCAGTGTGTGGGACAGAGAAACAGGAATGGGGGAAAAGTCCCTACCGTGTACATGTGTGTTTATTGGGGGAGGGAAGAAGGGAATGGAGACCAGAACTCATAATAATTTGTCTTAGCATCTAAAATAGGAAAAAAGGTGTGTTTATTTATAAAATATATAGTATGGGGAAACAGAATTTAAAAGGTCTTCCTATTTCAGTCACATGGCCCCCTGCCAGGAAGGCTGTTTCTGTGTCTCTGAGAAGAGGCCTCTCCAATACACTCAGCAGACATTCAACAGTCTCCCCACCATTTGTCTTCAATGTTTCAGGTCCTTCAGGGACTTGTAATCACCTCCAACATGGACACATGTTTTGTCCACACAGCCCACTACCTTCCTCTCTCTGGGTTTCTCTGCAGCACCAGGTTAGTAACATCAGCATTCTGGACTTAAAAGTTCTTTCCCCGCAAGCCCCCAAGGAGCTCCAAGCATTTCCCCATTTCCCATTTCCCCTGCCAGCCCATGTGACCGGAAGGGACTGGCACGCTTCTGCAGATCCTGAGTGGAGGAATGTGCCAGCCCACCTCAGATTGGAAGGTGGTGGCACAGGTCGGGTGGGGGGTGGAGAACCAAAGGGGAGCTGGTTCTTGCTACTTTGGCCCTTTGCCTTTCCTTTGGGCCGAGTATTAAATTTAGGTCTCTTCATTATGACAACTTTAGATCTCTCTCAAACCTCAATATTAAAGTTAGTGTCCCTTTTAGGGGGATCAATAATCATCGCCTGCAAATCCATAAACAAATGGAAGTTCTTACATACCCAGCAGTCAAGATTGCCAAGGCAGAATTTAGGCAACACAAGACCAACTTAATCCTAGCAACCACACCGCTCAGGCTACACACTTGAAATCTGATTTAGGATATAAAACAGAGGAGACACAGCACTCAATATGGTATTAGTGCTTAAGCACTGCTTACTGTGTAAAATGATTGGGCAATTGTCTTTGATAACACTTGTCATTTACTGTAAAACTTCTTTTTTTCCCCACCCCAATCCTTTCCTGGAGCCTGAAATCTAAAGGGGCTAAAGGAATACAAAGAGCCTGGCTGGTGTAGCTCAGTGGTTGAGCACCGACCTATGAAGCAGAAGGTCACAGTTCAATTCCCGAATGGCGCACAAGCCTGGGTTGCAGGCTCAGTCCCCAGTGGGGTGCATGTGGGAGTCAGCCGATTGATGTTTCTCTCTCATTAATGTTTCTATCACTCCCTCACCCTTCCTCTCTCTGAGATCAATAAATATATTTAAAAAAATAAAATAAAGTAATACAAGGGGCTTTGTGAGGTGGCCAAGGCTGAGGCTGGAGGCCTCTAGCTAAGAAGGCGTAAGAGACCCAGCTGACAGGAGTGAAATCTCAACCTCCCCTGGTGAGGTCAGGCAGCATGACACAAGATTCAACCTTTGGGGGAGGAAGGGAGGAGAGTGGAAATTAGGAGGGAACTACGAAGCTGGGGGCGCAGAGAAGGAAATATGAGAAAGAGCTTGAGGAGGAGGAAGAAAGGGCACTCTGGGACACCATGTGAGCAGGCATCCCCTAAGGGGCCCTAAGGATCTTGTTCCAGAGAACAGAGCTGAGGGATGGTGCTGCCCTGTGGGCTTTGGGTTAAGTATTTGAACCTCGAGGAAGGACTGATGAAAGAATGTTCTCCAGGATCTCACAGGAACTAGATGAGCTAAACAGTAAGACTTTGCTGTGGACTATTTTTTTTCTTTCCCACTGATTGATTTGCTGCTTCATTTGTTGGTTCCATGCTGGGCCACACAACGTTTGGGACAGGAACATGACTCAGAAGCCATCTGTGCTCCTGAGGCTCTCATGGTCCCTGCAACAAGCAGGTGGGTGACTCCTCTGGCGGCAGAAAACTGATATGCTACACTGCCCGAGAAGGCTGCAGGAGGGAGAACTGCTGCTAGGACAGGCAGAGGAGAGGCATGAGCTGGGCCCTAGCCGTTTGGATCGGTAGATAGAGTATCAGCTTGCAGACTGAAGGGTCCCAGGTTCAATTCCGGTCAGGGGCATGTACCTTGGTTGTGGGCACATCCCCAGTGGGGGGTGTGCAGGAGACAGCTGATCGATGTTTCTCTTTCAATGATGTTTCTCTCTATCTCTCTCCCTCTCTCTGTAAAAAATTAATAAAATACGTTTTTTTAAAAAAAGCATGTGTTGGAAAACCTATCATATTTCAGAACAGGGAGCGTCTGAAGATGAGGCTGGTGACTATGAAGAGCCTTGTCTGCCTCACTGAGGGCAGGGTGTGGTATGTAGAAGGGGATTTTACTCCGGGGGATAGGAAACTAGAAGAAGCATTTAGTTGGGGCAGGTAAGCCCAGATCCCATTAGCTGAGGCAGAGAATGAAGTCTAGGGTCTCGGGCCATGGCCATGTCTGGGGCTGCACACCTGAGAGCCACTAATGCCAGAACAGTTCAAGTGAAGAGTGAGGATTTAGAATGAGAAAAGTAAGAAGGACAGAAACTTGAGAATGCTGGCTTTAGGAGATGGGTGAAGGAGAGGCAGTGAAGGAGACCGAAGGCATTGCCAGAAAATGTGGAGGAGAAACAAAGAGAAGTCATAGAATCCAAGGGGAGAGAGCTTCAAGAAGGATGAGGTTCCACAGAGTAAAAATCAAGATGGAGGTTAAGTCGGAGTGTTAACATAAATAGAGTGAAATCTGGTCACTGGGATGTGAATGCAACAAGAGCTCACATAGAAATGAGGTCAGAGGGCAAGGGACAATGGATTCTAAAGTGAACTGGGATAGGGGAGCCCACTCAGGGATGCAAATCTATTTGGAAGAATAATGGGAGAAAGAGAAGGTAGTGGCTTTAAGAAGTGGCAAGGATAAAGGAGTTGTTTTGCCTTTGGTTGGCAACGGGAAGGAAGATAAGGTCATGAACATTTTTTGAGTATCATTACGTGTCAGTTCTCTGTTTCTGGCAATACTTACATTGTCTAATTCTATCTCTGAAAACATCCCTGAGGTAGCTGTTAGCCGTGTTATATAAATGAAGAATGCAGGGCTGCCAGGGGTTGAAAAATTTATCCAAAAGTTCCAGGAATTTGTAAATGGCAGCTCAGGGCTAGGACTTCAGACCGGTTCTCTCCACTCTATCATGCTCTGTGATGCATAGTAATGAAGGAGAAGGAGGCAGCGAACACTGAGGGACCGGGGAGGATGACCAGATCATTTATCCAAGTCTGAAACCTTGGAGAGTGAAAGGGGCCTTATTAATAGTTATGCTGGGACAGCAGTGGGACAGCAAGGCTGCCCAGGCATGCAGACTGCCGGTCCCCACGGGGATGCGAGGACCATGGGCTATGACTGAGCGAACTCCGCCGGCCAGGCACTGCCGTGTATGACGTAATCTCAAAGATGCTACACCAGCTTCATTTGTAAAGACATTCGTGTACACCATGTGTCTGAGCCTCTCAACTCTGGGGTAGGCTTTGTTTTTATGTCCACTTCATGAGAGGGACACTGGGGGTTAGAAAGATGGGTGATGTGTCCAGAGCAGGTAAAGAGCAGCTGTAACACTTGAAACCAAATGTTCATTATGACTTATTACCTGATATGATACATATTTTTTCCAATTAAAAATATTAGTAGTCATAGCACTTTCACAGGCCCTCCCCAGGCAGTGGGGCTAGGATTTGGCAGCTGGTGCTGAAAGAAAACCGTGAGTGCATCCTTCTCCTGGGACTGTGCCAGTGGTAGCTGTCACTCAATGGCACAGAGGGGTAAAAAAATTAGTCTACTTGTTGCTTTACTGTCTCTATATCTATCATTTGGTTCATCAGTTTATAATGTTCTTACCAAAGGACTTGTATACATGCATATAAGTACAACCAATGGACATAAAACTCTGGGGAGGGAGGGTATGTGTGGGAGGGAGAGAGAGGGGCAAAAAAAAAATCAATAAAATATATTAAAAAAAATTAGTCTATTGCTCTTTGTAAAAAGAGCATCAATTAAATGTAAAAGAAAACGATTTTTTATTTTAAAAAAATCATCCAAAGCTAAATATTTTCTTTTTCAGACATGACCTTGGGACCTGGTGCTTTGTAAATTGCTTATATGACTCTATCACAGGTAGGTCAGGGGATGCTCTGGTGGAGCTTACATAGGTGACCCCATAGCTGAACGTTTTAGAGTCCTAGTAGTGTCTTTCAGAGAAAAGAGCCATAAGGTTTTTCATACTGAAAATCACTCAGTCCCTGAGGCCCATGTGTCTCAGTGATGCTGCCAGGGTCTTGCCAGCCCGTGCCAGGAGCTCTCCTGCGGCCCACAGCTGTGCTCCGCCACCGCCGGTCGCCCTGACGACCGCTCACTGCGAGTTCCCATACTTTAGGGCTGGTGAGCGACATGGCCTCATGCACTGTACTGCTTGCTCATGGATCCCATGCCACCCAAGCCTGTAACATGTCAGCACCTCAGGTATGCCTCAGACTTGAGCCGCAGAGCACAGGTGGTTCTGAGCAGGGCAGACACTTAAGTTTGATCAGGATTTTAAAAACAGAGAGAAAAATAGAGGTTTGCGACCACCTGGAGGTGATTATTTTTATGTGATAGCGGAAAACTGACATCAACGGGACTCCTCACTGCTAAACTGGCCCTCTGTCACTGGGGAGGTTGAGACTTCAAGTGACTGAGTAGTCATAATTCAATTTGTGTTCACCTTTCCTGGAAGAAATTCCAGAATCACCAAGCCCCGATGAAAAAATGTTTTAAAATAAATATTTGACTTAAAATCTCTATTTCATGTGGTGTTTCAGGTGGAATGATTAGTGTGTGTGTGTGTGTGTGTGTGTGTGTGTGTGTGTGTGTTTACCTTAAATAAGCACATTTTATAAAGTTAGGCAGATTCAAACAAACAAAAATCAATAGGCAAGGAAAGCAAATCACAACAGAGACTCCCTTTCTTCTGTAAGAATGTAAGCCCACAGATGAGGTTAGCAATCTTTTCCCTTTGTACTGTTCAGAATGAATGGCCTGATATATTTTCACTACTTAATCTTCAGGTGAGTTTCAAAACTCATTTGAATAAGACTTTAAAAAACAAAACCACAGCATGTTATGTAGCACATCTCCTTCAAAAGACAAGGGACAGCAGAGCACCTGAGAGCAAAGCCTGCACTTTGCAATGCCTGAGAACTCAATACAGGGCTTCTGTAACTGTCTTCTCGCAGCGCGTCCATACCTGAGCCTCTTTTTAACCTTCTTCTGGCCAGTTTAATTTGATCCTGTAGAATCTGTACCCAGTCTCTCGGGCCAGGAAGTTTATCCACATGATTAGCAGTACAGTATTTTTCTGTGAAGACTGAAAGAAAACGTGAAATATTGTTAAATGCTTCAACAAGTAAAACAGGCAGATCCAAAATAGAAATATATCAAAAGAAGAAAAAACATATATATATATTGCTAAAGACAAGGGTTCTGCACTAGATAGCCTCATTATCCATATTACACCCCTGTGGTGGGGGTGGAGCTTGGCAGGGCCCTCACTATAAAATGTACTGGGCTTCAAAATGAAACCAGCTCTGCACAGTGAGTATTTTTTATGGGAAGTTCCTTTTCTAAAGTGCCTTATGAAAAGTGCTCCATGTCCCTGTATATGTCTTATGAGCAGAGAAAACGCTTCCTATGGGTCCTCTGGCCCCTTGACAAAATTCAACAACTGTATTAAAACATTTCACTTTTTAATTAATTCAAAACCTTATGCAAAATTATACAAAAAAGATGATGTTCTCATGGTTACTTCTACTAACTCAATCAGTTCTCAGAATAAATAGAATGTAATTGTATCCTTTTTTAAGATAAATTTTCATTGATTTCAGAGAGACGAGGGAGAGGCAGAGATAGAAACACCGATGGGAGAGCCTGTGACCTCCTGGCGCAAGGGCAGATGCTCAACCTACTGAGCAACACCCGCAGGGCAGAATGCAGCTGTATCTCAATGAAAGTTCCAACTGTATATCGAGTCAACTCTTGCAACATTCTACTGGCTTCTGGGAAAGAGCTATCTATTAAGCACAAAAGAAACTATGGAGGATGACAGAGAGGCCAGACATGATCTTACTAAAGCCGCCCAGCGTGTGACTGCCCAGACAGGAGCTGGCGTGGACGCTGCTGCTCCGCATGCCATTCCTGAGCGCTTCCCAAGTGCTCTCCTCTCGGCAGGTCAAGACCAAGCATGTACTCACAGTGCACTGCCCACTTGGTATTTATAAGATGTGGCCCGGCTGGCATGGCTCAGTGGTTGGCCTATGAACTAGGAGGTCACCATTCGATTCCTGGTCAAGGCATGTGCTTGGGTTGCAGGCTCCATCCCGAGTCAAGCAAAGGTTCTCTCTCATTATTGATGTTTCTATCTCTCTCCCTCTCCCTTCCTCTCTGAAATCAATAAAAACATATTTAAAATGTTGGTAATTCTAATGTTTTAAAGGCTTCTTTTAAAAAGAAATGACAAAGGAAAATGTTGATAGATTCAACTACTCTGTAAAACTATAAAATTTCTATTGAGTAGAAAATAAACACCACACTAGAATGAGAAAAGCTAATTGCGCTAAACGTAACTGAAAAGGTTTAATATCTACCACCATACAAAGCGCTCGCTCAAACAGAAGAGCAACTTCAAAAGTCTCTATAGTTAACCAACAGTGTATTTAGCATTAGGAAAATGTTCAACAAATATGTAAGCTCCCAAATTGCAAAAACACATTTTATACCTACTAAATGAGAAGAGCAATGTTACAAAGCTAATACTTAATATTGATAAAATTGTGAGGGCCTGGCATAGTAAAAAAATCACTGTTGGCATAAGCTGGCAAAGCCTTTTTGAAAATAAGATAGTAATATATAATGAGAGGCATAAAACTGTTACACTTTTGCACCGGAAATCTTACTCCTAGAAATTTATCCTAAGGAAATAATCTGAAAGAAGGAAAACATCCACACACAAATGTAAAGAACCCAGTCGTGCGGGAGGACCTGGGTGGCAGCGGGAGGATGGATCTGGGAGGGAGAGGAGGATGGATCTCTTTGAGGAAGCTACTGCCATGTCAGTTAGGGCCGCGTGAGTGAAGACGGGCAGGTGACCGGAACTGTATATGGAACAGGCATTTCTGCTCAATCTCATGACCTGGCAACTATAGAAGAAAGGGAGGTTTGTGAGGGCAGAGGCAGGTGTATTAGGCTTGGTTTGGGACATGTTGAGTTTGGGTCCCCGTCCCTATACAGAAGCCTACAGTTCAGGGAAGGGTCCAGGCTGGTACCAGTTTGACAGGCACAAACATACACGTGGGAGTTGAAATGAGAGAAAAAACCTTAACCAGGGAGAGCCCATGGAGTGAACAGAGCGCTGGGCCAAGCACAGAGCAGCGAGAACCCCAGTGGTTGAATGGAGATTAAGGCACAGGCGTCCATGGAGGAACCCAGGACGGGCCAGAGGGGATCCTGTAAAGCCAGCGAGTGGTGCTGACGGAGGAGGACACACAGTTTAAGTGCAGAGGGAGGGCCAGGAAGGGAGGCTTGGAAAGTGTCCACTGAGGGTCATCAAGGAATAGTGGGGTGGCCACAGAGGACACACTCAAAAAATGGGGCTCAGTGGAGGAAGGGAGAGAAAAAGGGCTGCCAGGGGAGGAGGGCTGAGGGCCGGGAAACCTGAGCATGCCATCAGGCTGACGGAAACAGCAATGTTGTGCGGGAAGACAGGATCCAGGAAAAAGGGGACCATCAAAGGGGAGGGTCAGGCTAGAAACGGAGGGTCACCCTCGAACAGGAGGGGCTTCTTCCTCTGGCCGCAGAGGAAGGGAAGACGGGCAGGCTGAGAAGTGGTTACCAGCTGGAGCAATCACTCCCAAGACCTCCTTGCATGTCCGGTGCGGGGGAATGGAGAGTGTGGGGAAAGTCTGGGGCAGAACAGGAGTCGGAAAGCAGCAGACTGAGGATGTGAGGACACCATGCAGGCCTGTGGAGCTGGCAACAGCCTGTGGGGGCAGGCGGTTTCCCCCAGGGCACTCTGCAGCTCCTCTTCGGGAGCGGAGCCACCGATGGTAGGGCTGCTCCTGGGTTGGAGTCTAGCTGGATAGTCTTGGCAGCAGCGCCGGGGTACAAAGCACCTGAAGATGCGCTGCCACCTGGAATGAACGACCTCAGCTTTCCTCACTCCCCCTTCCCACACAAACCTGGGACGAAGTAAAGCAGGAAAAGGCTCGCAGGCTTGGAAAAATCTAGAGACCATGGAATGGAAATACCAACAGGGTTGGCAAGGCGGGGCCGTGGAGTAAGGGCAGTTGGGAGTGCGGTGCTGAGTGGACGAGGCAGCGAGCAGCCCTGGATGGGAATGCTGGGGTGTGCTCACGGGCGGGGCTGAGGGAGCCAGGTGAACGTAGTCGAGGTGAACGTCACTGGGGGTGAGGTCGGCATACTGCTGGCTGGGGGCATACTGCTGGTCCATCAGATGGACCTTTCGCGTGAATGGGGAAGTTTTCCTTGATGGCAGGGCGACGGGGGAGTGCGAGGCAGAGATGTAGCTGTGGTGGAAACCTTAGAGGAAAGGACCTAGCCCAGCCCAGCCCAACCCAACTGAGCAGAGGAGGAGTAATGGTTAGGAAGCAGAATTAAAGATCAGGGGAAACACCGCCCAGGCTGCCCAGTATATGAGATGTGGGATGGGACAGAAGGAACAATGCCTCGGGGGTGGGGTTTGCTTTAGAATCTCCCACACCGGGTTATCGGCGCCGCAGGGTCTTCTTTGATCTTAGACCCCCACAGCACCTACAACAGTCCTTTGTACCAAGAACACAATAAACATTTGATTTGTATTTAGCACCCTATTCGTTTACTTGAAGGTGTGTACCACTGAAAGAACTGGATACACTGTCTTAGCAGATAGACATCCCCCCCCCCTTGCAATATTATTTATTTAGTTAATTTCCATAGCAAGCCCTCTTCCCTTAGGTTGTGAGGTGCAGGGGTCCAAATTAGCACCCATTAATAGATTTGGGTTATGCCCGCATCAAAATGACGCCCAGACACTGTGTGTGCCAACAACAGGCTTAGGAGAGCCAGCGGGACGCCTGAGTGCTGCTCCTCCACCGGGAGGGGCTTCTGATAGATCTTTTGAATCCAATCGTGCGCTCAGCTATTCGGTCACTCCTAGAAAGGCAAGCATTTCTGGTTGTTTTTTCTCTCTCTTCAGTTAAAATCCATCCAGCTTCAATAAAAAGAAACCAGGAAGCCTCTGCCTCCCGCGTCTGTGTCTGAGATCACTGAAGGCACAGCATACGGCTTCTTGGGAAACACCTGCACAACAAATAGTTCCACTGCGCCTATTTCTGGGGTCACATTCATACGTAAAAGCGACTTTTACCTGGAATCCATCTGCCGAAAAAGAAATCCTATTCTGTTGCAAGTGCAGATGAGGCCTTAGGCCAAAATATTGTGATTGTATTGACCTGAAAACGCTCAATATGCCACGTGAATAGCAGTATCGAGTAAGCAGAATATATTTTTGCTATCTGATTCTATAGCTAAAGGTCAAGCTATTATCCTGGTAACAGTTCCATTAGGAGTAATGATGTGAAAAGAGGTACTGCATTAATGTACTGGGGTTCCTACTATGTTAATTGCGGCTCGTTCAGAATCATAGCAGGACAATCTGCATTCATCCTTAGAATGCAATAGGTCCTAAAAAGAAATTTTCTTCCTTTCCTATTTTACATATTAAGGGGAAGCAAGGGCTAATTTCAAACAAGCCCAAGTAATCTGAACAAGTGGATGAAGGCCAACAATTTAAAAAGAGTTAAAGCATCTACTCTGCTTAATATAATTTGAGGTCCCAAGGCACAAAGAATGTGTTAAATCACTGGAGAAATGACAAATGTTCAATTTGATCTGTACATGAATAATGACTTTTCTCTGCTGTTTGCATTCAATTGAGCCATGCTCTTGAACTGCATATAAATAATGAACAGGCTAGTGGTGGCTGAGCAGATCCTCCCATCCCCAGGAATGTGGCATATATCATAATCATCAATGAACACAGCAGAGGGTGGCGTGTCTGAATGCAACACGCTGAGAACAGAGCAGCCTGGCCGGGTTCCCCCAGCAGCTGTGTGTGCACACAGCTCCTTGAGGACTCTATCAGATTTGTCTGGCTCTCTGTGCTGGGAAAAGCAGAATATGGGATGGGTTTTTAAAGGGAGTCATCAGATCATACAGACATTTAAAGGGGCAGGAGTATACAGCAGAGCTTTTATCTCATTGTGAAATCCTCTAATAAGGCAAAAACTCTGGCCAGAGCGAGTGCCCAACTTC